TTAAATACGTTTGTTGGCTTCAGGCTCTCACCACAATTCATTCGTTCTAATTTTCCCCTGGACTTGTTAAGGACACAATGTATAGAAAGGAGCAATGCAGAATGGCATTTTTAGGTCACTATATTTTGGCTGTAAACTGTAGTCCTGCTCATAAACTTGTTATTACTAAACAAAATGCTTCATATTCTACATTGAAGTTTCACAGTCTTTAAAAAAACTTTTGGCTGAATGTTGGACTATTATGGCTCATTAAAGAGACTAGTTCTGCTGTAATTTCGTTATTTCTTAATCATCCAAGGGTTATTATTAGACATGGAACAGATGAGTAAAGAATGGCTCTCTGTAAGAAGATGCAGTGAAGTAAAAATATTATTCAGAAAAACAGAACCTCTGAAAATCTTATCCATGCAACAAAAGTGTATTTAATTGGCTTGGAACTGATTCTAAAAACATGGTCTATTTTTATTACATAATTTGACCTTTTTTTTTTAATTTGGACTGAAGAGAATAAATTGAATGATAATTTAATCTGGATAAAAATACATTTTGAGTGAATAGGTAACTAAGCAAAAAATATTATTTTAGGGAAACAGAAAGTAATTTTGAATTGTCATCCATTTCAGCTAATATTTTAATAAGAAAACATAAGATAAGCTATCAGAGAAAATTAAAATAGTTGCTAAATTTAAGAAGCTCTAATTAAAAAAAAATACAATTTGAAAACAGTGTCTTTATTTCTGAAAGAAATACAATTTTAATCAGTTTTTTCATTTTGATAGCAAATACAAACTTTCTGACTTTTGTGAGTATGTAGGCACTGACAAAGTGCTGAAAATTTGAATTACAAGTGATAAAGGAAAATGCTTCTATAACTCATTTTTCTCCTCAGTTATAATCTGCAAATTTTTCTATCAGCCTGTTAGGTTCTTATAAACATGGGCTAATACTATGTACCTGTTTTACTGAGCTCACACATAACAGGGAACCTTGGAGGTAGTGACTGAGTCCAAACAGAAGTTCTGAAAAGCTTTTAGGACTACAAAAGAGATTTCTATTGCAATGAAGTGGCTAGGTCTAACTTTGTATTTTCAGTTGTTGCTATCTCTTCTGCAGATGTATAGAAGCTTTAATATTTTCAACATGTTAACTGTAGCAAGTAACTAAATGAGTCAAATATCAACCTAGCTACAATTTCAAAAGTATGAGGAAATTAATTTATGGGAATTGCAATTACCCTGATGTGAATTAATGTCGTTTACTTACGCCATCCAAGCAAAATGCTGTTTGTAATCGCTGACTCAGAACTGGAACATCTGCCTCCTATTCTCAATGGGCACTTCCCCTGTAGAGGCCCCTAACACACCATTTCAGTGCTGTACCCCACTCCTTGCTTGGTCACAAATGCCTTTTTTCACCCTATTTGGCACATATGTTCTCTGTCATCCATTTTTTTAAAGTAGGACACAACACCTTGTTCCTTTGGAGGACACAGGGCTGCCTTCTGCATCACTCCTGAGAACCTGAGCATGGACTTGGTGCTTCATGCAGCTGCTCCGTGGGGGAAGAGCCATGCCCTTGTCAGAGCATTCCTGGAGCTGCAGGTCCCATGGTCCCCCTCCCTGCAGTGAGGTTCCCATGGTCACAGCAAAGGAGCAAGAAGAAGCAGCAAAACTCGGGCCATTAGCGACTCTTAAATTATAGTTACATATTAAAATAGTTTCCTTAGGGCCTTATTTGATTTAGTGTCACTGCAACTTCACTCCAACTGACTCCTTTTATACTCCCCTGCAATTCCAAACTCCAACAATGTCCCTGTTCAGAAGTGACAAATTTGCACTGGGAAGACAGAATGTTACCTAAGTACTGTGTTTTCTAAACGTAATTATCCACATGAGTAAGAATCTGTAGTGTTATGAAATTCTGAAAATCATCAGTTCTTTCCAAGCATTATAAAGAAGGCCCCTTGAGATGCAACTAGAAATTAAAGTTGATCTATAATCATTTTCAGAATGTTTTCCAGTTCTGAGCACCTGGATAGTAACAGAAAAAGTATTGTTTTTTGCTGTTTGCCAACCATTTCATTTCCATTTTCAAAAAACTGCAAGAAACCTCCGAGCAATAATTAAGCATAAATTACTTTAATCTTTTTTCTTTTTTTCTATTTAATACTACCAGAATGAGATTGAACTTGACCAACCTGCAGTTTCCCCCTCAGCTTCAGCAACAGAATCTCAGGTACAGTTTTGTTCCTTTTAGTTTACTTTTGTGGGGGTGGGGGGAGGTTTAGCTGTTTTTCTATGAGTTTCCATTGGATCCCAGTCACTGATGGCATTTATTCTCTAGGACATAGTATGCATTCTCTTCTAAGATTGAATGAAAAGAGTTTTAATGCATTAATTGGTCAGCAGAGAACATCTCTTTGAGTGAGCCCAGCTGGGCTCTTGCCCTGTGGGAGGATGTGTCTGCCTGGCCTGGGCAGTGTAAGACAGCCACGATGGTCTCTGTCAAGGCAGCGCTTCCCAAAAGCAGTTCTGTGTGTTGTTGCCTTTCTTTGTGCTGGTGCTGTTGGGTCTCATAGAAGGCAGGAAGATGTTCTAACTCAGTGTTTCCTCTGGCTGGTTGCTACCAGGGGTCTGACCAGGGGGATTACCTGCAAGAACCCTGTCCAGAGGCAGCATCTTCTGAAGCGGATGCTGTAGCTGGAGTCACCGCTGAAGATGAGAAGTCTGCAGTGTGTGAAATCCCAAATGAAATTATTGGCAACCTTGAGGTACTATTACTAGAAAGCTATTCACTAATTCTGTCTATGGTTAATTAGCTAGCTCAGTCTTAATGAATATAAACTGTGTTTGTGCTAAAGCTGGCAAAAAGCACATCCATATGCTGTAAAAATGTGAATTAGCCTCTATAAATAACTCCTAGTTTAGTCAGCTTACATATGATGAGATAAAAAATACTCAGTAATATGACAACATATATCTTCAGCCTTACTATGTGTCAAAAACACAGGCCAAATCCTGCGCTCAGTGATGTCAGTGATAAAATTCCTTCTTAGGGGTTCAGGACCAGCTGCTGTGCTAGAGAATATGCAATGTGTGCTTAATATAAATTGATAGATGCATCTATGTCACACATCCTTCAATTTGTGTAAGAAATTACTCACTTATGCCAATTTTAGGCTTTGTCTGGTAGGTGTGTGACTACACAAGAGCTGCCTTAATGAAACAGATCAGCTGTCAGTATGTGGTCTTCAGACTCTGAGGGGTCCATAATTTCTTTCTGTGAGGTTCATGGAAAGGAGGGAAGCTGCTGTCACTGGAATTAACAGGAGATGATTGAAAGCCAAATCTGCTAGAACATATTTGTACCAAGGAGCTGCTGGAATTTGGTCTTACTGGCAACAACCAGGTGACATTAGGCACTTTGAACTTCAGATACAGCACATTAGACACTATTGACTAAGCAGCAGTTTAATAAATACCTAATATTATCTGAAAATACTGTGGTATTGGTAAATTGTTTTACTTGGACTATGCATCAGTAGGGAATATAATTGCTATATTAATTAGTTAGAATTATCATATTAATTAATATATTAATTAGAATAGATTAGAGCATGAGATCTACCTATTTGAGTTCTTATTCCATGTCAACACATCTTAAGAAATGGGAGGAAATCTCTGGCCTGTGTTATCTCATTCCTGTCCCTACCAATAGAAAAGAGTAAATACCTGGTTTTCACTTGACCTTGATGCCATTAACATCAGTGCTAAGAGTTTTTTATTACTTTACAAGACTGTACTTTTTCTTTTTCTTTTTCTTTTTTTTTTTTTTTTTTTGGCAACTCTGGTTGTACACAAAGAAAGTAATTTCCCCTGATGTTTTAATTATTTAATTCTGATACCAGTGTATCATTTTCACCTGTTTTCTCAGTTTCTTGACCTCCGAAGAAATCTTATAATTAGATTTTTACCTGATTCATGATAAAACTCATACCATTTTTTGTTATGTGTGAAATATGGTTTCACAATCTGCATTATGTCTCAACATAACATAATTAGAGCAACAGGCAGCTGTTGCTCTAATTGAGTCTAGAAAATAACTTTTAGTCAGGTATCACTGTGTTGTCACTCAGGGGTCTCAGCTGTGTCCATAGCAAAGTGTGGTGGCAGAGGATTTTCAGTGGAGGTAGGACCAGAGACAGAGGTGTGTAAAAACTGGAGAAGAAAAGGCATCTGGAGTGGCTGGGAGTTGATTAGCCTAGAGGATCACTGTTCCAGCAACCAAGTCTAGACATCACATAAGGGGATGAAGACATACTTGTTGATTCTTGGATTGAATATGGTGAAGGCCATCTCCAGAGATACAAAGCTGAGAGAGAAATGCCAGCCTTTTGGTTCTAATCTGAGCTACTGAGAACTTTGAAAACATTTCAGCTGTGGTTACTCATTGATATATTGCAGAATAACAGTAATAGGGATTTCTAGGACTGGCAAGCCTCAAAGTTCCTAAAATGTCAACTTACTGCAAGCACTTCTGGTACAAATCCATTTGCTTTATCAAAGTTACCTGAATTACATTAAGACTGTTACTCTGAGTTTTGGAACAGTTTATATAGAGTCTGTATAAGACCTGTGAACCTGTCCTGGTTGTTTGAACAAAACTTTATGACTCTTAGAAATATTGTCATTGAACTCCTTCCATTTCTCTTGTATTTTTGCAGCGATCAATGCTCATATTGAAAAATATACATAAATTACCCATAAAACACCAGTGTTTGTGGCCCTTTTTCCTGTGATTCCACATTTCCAAATGCCATACAATCAGAGATTGCTATGCATTATCACTGCCAAAGATTTCATTAGAATACATCACAACCCCTGTACCTTCCCCACAAATGTTACATTGCAAATTAAACACTCAATGTCTACGGTAGTGTGGATTTCCAGAGTGAGATGCATATTCATAATTGTGTTTGTAATTAAGACAGACAAGCAGCATCACAGAAATACATTTTTTTATTGTTCATTTTCAGTAATGCTTTTTAATTCCAGCACTGTTTCAATAAAACACATTACACTAGAGAACAAACATCTGCATCAAAGGAAAACAGTAGGAACAACCAGATCCCAAAGCAATTTTTCTGATTTGGTGTCTATTGATAAAGGCTGTCTGAGAATACAGGAAAATTAACCTATCTCCCAAGACAAGGTTACGTGAGGAATGGCTGTCCCAGATCACTTCCTGCTCATGGCAGCCATGCCATCCCTTGGAATTGTGCACGGCAATGTGATAACATGTTATCACGTAAGGACAGACTGGAACACTGTTCTGTCTGCAAAACAGGAAGGTGTGGAGGATAATGTCTGCCTTGCTGCTCTACACTGTGTCAAAACCACAAAGACAATGTGCAGCCTAAGATAGCTCCATCATAACCACTTCTTTCTTCTGATTTTCTTTACAGGCAGACTTCAATGAAAAGCTGCAAATGCAGGAAGAAGCTTAGACTTGGAGAAGAGAAAAACTGAGAAGTCCTAAATAGTCAGATAAGAAAGGTGATGCTGAGTTTTGCAGGAATTGGTCAGCAGGGGATGGCACATACAGAGGCTGGCTCACTACCTGATCCAAATTATTTTTGTATAGAGGAAAATGGTTCTATTAACATTTACCTGGAAGTATTTCATCCCAGTCCCTCAAATTTACAGTGTTCAGCCAGCATTGTTGTTTAGTTTAGACTTAAGTTGAAGATTATAAACAGAAGGACACATAATTAAAACATGTTGAAGTTCAGTTTATTTCTGAATACAAATTCTAAGTAAAAAAAAAAAAAAAAAGCTGCAGTTTCATTCTCCCAGTTGTGAAATACTTAGCAGTTTCTGCTTTACACCTATGGTTTTTTTTTCATAAAATATTGCTACAAGGAAAATACATAGAGGGAAAACATTATTTTGAGGCACTGTAGATATAATAAGGAAAGAATTTAATTAACATGTAATTACGCACCTTGCACTGTAGCTATTCATTAATAATATGTATGTTATTTTGTTTTAATTTGCTTCCTAAGCTTTAATACAAATTTAATAGCTTACACTTCTTTCTTTCCACCATATTAAAATTGCATAACTGAAGAGTTTGCACGTAAGTATTCGAAGAAGAGTTTCTTTAGATTTCAGTGGATTTTTTTCTGGAATGCATGTATCCTTTCATCTGAGAATGTTTCCATATTTTGTCAGACGTTACAGAAATGTTTCATGCTCAAAAGGATTCCAACCAAATAAATGACCTCAGAAGAGCCTGTTGAACATCTATGTTTCAAACTTGCAGCCTGTATTTGTTGTGTCACAGAACTGTGCCCTAGAAAGCATGAGAAATACAAGTCATGATTTGAAGCGTAAAGGCTGGATTGGATTGCACGTTTAGTGGAATACATGAGAAACAGAGTATTTATTAATTGCATTTTCATATTTATTTACCACTAAATAAGAAGTTAGATTTTGTTTGATTAAACTTCATCCTCATTTTTTGGTGGTCGTAAATGAAAAAATTTGCAAGTCTGACTCGGCCATTCCAAAGAAGAAAACAACTTTTAGCAGTTCTACTAAAAGGTCTGATTTGATGCTGCCTGACTTTCAGGGGCTGCTCCTGGTGGGCACAGCGCTGAGCATGCAGCTGGAAGGGTCATTCCCATGTGCTCAGCAGGACGTGATCCCACAGCTGAAGACAACACCCAGCAGCTCTGCCAGGGCACCAGGAGCCTGGGTGTGCCCTGCAGAGTGCGTGCCCAGTGTGGGCATGGAGCTCTTGCAAACCAGTGGTTCACTGGTTGAAGGGACAGAGCATTTTCCTTGGTCTCATGCACTGAGAAAAATTCTTCCCCTGGTACACAATAAGAAGAAGTAAAAACAGAGTAATGATTCGCTTCCAAGTTCTCTTGATTGCTGTTTCCAGTGCTGGCCAGAAAATTAGTGAGAGCTTCCCTTCAGCTATTAAAAGCTGACTGTTCTGCTTTGAACAATGAATGAATTATTGAGGCATTAGTAGTTTTACCTTTAAAAAAAAATTTTGATTCCTGGCTATGTTCTTTGTTGTTTTGTTCCTATGAAATGCAAGTTTTTTGTTAATGAAACTTTCTGAAATCAGAATGTCCTTTATTTTGATACATAAATCCATCTCCCAAGACATTATGCTAATGTCACCATTTTCCTAGTTTTGAACTCAAAGGTGAGAACAGAACTTTTGAAGAGAGCTGTCCATATGACAAAGAGTATTTAAAATACTTTTTAGTGAAAATGTGTTATTGGCAATTTAGCATTGTTTAGCACTTCAGACCTAAATCTGAGGGCTGCAACATTCCTGCTGTAGTGCTAAACAGAAAGGGACTAACTATGGTTTATATTAAGACCAATGCTAGACAAAGACTTTTGCCCATAGCTCTTTCTCCCTCTCCCAGATTTTATAAAACCTCTGGGAAATTTTGAAGTGCTTTGAAGATGAGAAATAGTATATGAACCTCAAGTATTACTGTGATGATTTGTTAGCAGTCAATCTTAGTACATATGCATAACAGCTGAGGTAGTGCAGAAATCCAGAGTGAAGTCCAAATCCCACAAACCATATTCGTAACCAACTTTCTGCTGAACTAAATAATGCTACCAATAAAGAATAGACCCTGGGATTTTTTGAGAGTGGGAAGGAGGATGGTTAGGAGCCTGAGGAAGGCAAGATGAGTAAAAGGTAGACATAGCATCTCTCTAAGCAGTCAGAGTGTGAGTTCTGACACAGCATATGAACATCGAATTGAAGAATTCTTTAATGTCTTCAGAATGTTAATATGAAATGCAAAACATCATGCTTTGGATAGATGGGTAGGAACAAAATGTTCAGATGCAATATGGTGCATTAGGAACAGTCTCCATTCTGTATTCCTGGCTTTCCCATTGGTTTAAATCAAACTTGCTGTTTCTCCAGTCTCTCATGTCATGTTGAGTTACTGCTGTAGTCATCTCTAAAAATAATTATGCTGTCATTCCTGGGACCTACACTTGAGGCTTTGGTATTACTATCATCGAGTTTTTTGGGTTTTTCTGCCACACTGTTGATCTAACAAAGTTCTTTACAATGCATATACATAGAATAGTTCTTAACAGGTTCCCACCCTACAGAGCTCTCAATTTACAGCAGAAAATTCTTGTAGAAATGAAGGGAAGAGGTGTTGTGTTCTACCTTGTCTGCCAGAGAAGTGGTGGTTTTTCCAAGGGCAGAGGACAGATAAAGCAGTATAATTTCTCCTATATAAGGAATAATATTAATGCTTTTTAGCATCTTCATGGCAAAATCCTGGTCTGTACTAGCATTTTATAATGAGACAGTGCACAACTAGTAATTATCCTCCAGTAAAAGAAAGGCTCTATTTTCAGGCAGTGCTTTTCTGCATTACAGTGACAGTGTGATGGAAGTTTAGATGGAAAGCAGGTTTTCTAGTAAGAAGCTGGCTTGAAAGTGATGGGAGAAGAGGCAAAGAGAAGACAGGTTTTTTTACCTGTTTTGTAGCATTTTGTCATGACCTTTTCTTCTCAAGCCTTTCTTCTCTTTTTTTTTGCACCGAATTTTGATTTGAATTTGAAAATTGCCACACTTTTTCCTTCCTAAAATTGTAACTGGCATTCCTAGAAAAGTTGTTTTCCTAGAAAAGCCACTGTGCATAGGCTTCAAATTCAGCTTTTCATAAGTGAGAATAAGACATTTTCTTCAATAACCTACACTGCCAACCTGACCACAAAACATGGGCAAAGTCAGCACTGGCCTGTTTTAATCAGGTTCTTCAGCACATGATCCAGCTGATTACTCAAACATGGTCATCTAGATGGGTGTGTTGTACTTACCTGAAAAGCCTCTGGAGCACAGGTTTGGCCCTGGGCTGACCCAGAAGGGTGTAGAAGAGAGAACCACAAAGTTCTGTCAGCTGGCAGTCTAGGGAGGGCTGTGTTCAAGGTGAAATCCTCTCTGCTTCTCCACCACTCTTCACAAGGAAGTGACAGCAGTGACAAAACACTGTGCTGCTTGCCACGAACAGCTCCAAACTGAATGTTTGGAATGAGCACTTCAGCCCATTTTGTTGTGGCACTTTGAATGCACAGAGCAAGCTTCAGGCTCCAGCAGTTGTGGATTCAGATCACGTGTACAAAAAAAATTCAAAGGATAGTTGCAGTGACTCATGTAATTGCGAGTCCCATTCAGATGCAGAGCCTTACAGAGGACATGGAATTAGTAATGCTGCAGAAAGAACAGAATGTAAAATATTTCCAGAGTAGAAACAACCTGATATTTTACATAGTGGACAGCTTTAAACACAGTAGTGCTACTCTAAAGCCTGTGCTGTCCTTGACTCAACAGAGGGTGCACTAAATGGGAGGTTTGTTCATAAGCAATTCTTCACTCACTAAAGTTGCTAGGAGTTCTGTTTATTTTTAATGTGTTTTTGAATGTTTCTGCAGCTGACTCAAAGAACAGAAAAGGAAAAGGTGAGTTGTTACAAGCACCCCACCCAGAAAGGGTAGGGGGAGCAAGAAGGGACACCTGTGGCCTTGACATCTGGAGGCTGTGAGGAAGAATGGTCCAAAAAAGTTATTCTCCTAAATGAGCATGGCACTTCTGTGTTCCTGGAGAAAGGCCGGTGGAGCTGTATCACTTCAGGATGCCAATGTGCATGGTCATTCTTGGTGGGAGCCTCTAGAGGTTGCTTGCAGCACCTTTTAAGGTGAGCCTGTTCCTCCAGTGACTGCAAAGGTGGCATCAGGGTTTTGCTTCCCTTTACTGAGGTTGGTCTACATGAGTATCTCAAAGTTCTCATTTCTCTTTTTCCAGCCATTTCTGAAGATCTTTCATACAACATTTTCTTGACATTTGAATCTTACATGTTTTAAACTCCAGCCAAGACAATTTTCTTTTCTATTTTTATGATTGTATTGATTGTAGTATAAAAAATGTCTTATCTGAGTAGAGCAGGATCCAAGTATCCCAAGCTGCTACCTTTGGCATTGGCTGTGGGAGATGCTTAGCAAAGAGCATAGGAGCAGGGCATCCTAAGGGCATACCCTTCCATGGACTGGTGCTTTATACTCTTGTGGAGCCAGAGTATGCACCCATCAATTGAAATCAAGGGAGTTTGTCTAGTCTGTTTTTGACCTCAGCTGTGCTCCTGCCCACTGTACTATGCAATGACAATAAGTTCCACGCTATCATTTTTGTGTTGGTGATGAATGCCAGCTGCAGTGGATACTGAAGGCTCACATTTCCTCAGCTCAGAGGCTTTCAAGATCCTCAGTTGTACTGGTGGCTTGTGTGTCTTGAGAGTGGATAACCAGGAAGGCACTGACTTCATTTACAGCAGGAGCAGCTGAGACCCAGGTAAGAGAAAGTATCTGTCAGTCTCTACAAGACTCAGCCAGCATTTACACCCTGTTACTGTTTGTCACTTCTTTTTATGCCATATCTAACTTGGATTAATCCTGCTGAGCAGAGATGCATCATTCAGTCTTCATGTGTGTGTCAAGGGACACACAAGTGGCCCTGCCTGGACAGAAGGATAATGACAAAGGGAGGAAAAATGACCATCTTTGGTCTGTCAGGCAGACAGCAAATAGTTTGCTATTCCAATCATCAGAGCAGCAAGTTTCCTTGGAGCATGTAAGTCGTGCATTTCCACGCAGCTCTGAGAGAAAACTTTGCCCTTTGATTGTTTTCCAAAGAAATGTTCTCAATTTCTTTTCTGCCAAATTCATATTACAGATCATGCTAACAAATTTTCCCAAGCCTTCTTGACCTTCTCCCTCCTTTCCAGTAGTAAAAGAAATTTCCCTCATGGCAGGGAGATGTTGAAGATTGCTAAATTTTGCTGATTTAGGAACAGACTGAATGAAACAAGCTTAAAAATATGTAGATAGCACATTTCAGAATGCAGTTAGCTCCGCTGGTAAGGAAAATGAAACTTGTGATAATTCTGCTGTTTGACAGTGTGTTAGAAAATTGCCTGCTAATGGGTGGGTGGGGAGGCTGCACATGCTCCCTTATGATGATGGCAGAAGTGTGTGTATGGCCCTGGGAAGCCCTGATTTGGGAGGATATTGGTTTTGATTTCTTTTTCTCCTTATTTTTCCAGTAAATCTGTGCCTGTTCTCGCCAAAATAAGACAAGGTAACAGCAATACTTTGCTTCAAACGAGGTGTTTTATGTTGATTGGAGCTTGGGGGGCTCAGTGTTCAGTAGCACCACTTCCTCTGTAACTGACTAATTTGTAAACAGCAGAGTGAGCATGAGAGGCCTCCAGCCTGAGTGAGGATTTGGGGTGTTTTCTGAATGAACAAGGTGAGAGGAAGACACCCCTTTGCTGTGCTTTCCTGCTTTTGACAGTTCTGGTATGCAGTCATCACAGGGCAGTTTTGCCACTAACCCATTTTTCACTAGAGTTTTCTTACCCAGTATCTGTCTGGATAAAAGAGGGATGCAGATTTTTGTGTTGGTTTTGCTATGAGACCATTCCAGCCTTTTTTTGAAATGCCACATTTCGACTTAACAAATCGCTGGATCATGCAGTTCTGATGCCCCAGAAACCATTTTCAGTGACATACTACAAAAGCAGGACTGATACAGATCTCCTGACTGCATTTCAAAGACATACCTTTGGATGACAGGGTTGCAGATGAGACTTTAATTCTTTAGAACTCAGTGGAAAGATGTTCATTTACTACCAAAGGCTCTCACTTTAATTTTTGTATCTTCTACTCTAATTTTCTGTAAGTAATATGGATATGGGGGCTGATCTGCTATTAAAGTAGGGGGATCAATTATTCAAGTGAATTCTTTTACTATCTGTGCCAATATTTCTGTGAAATTATTATGATGTAAGGCTACATGAAGGTATGTCTTTGTAATATATGTCAGCTTTCAATACTGTCTTCCAAATATAAATTATGAGGAAGATTTTTAAGCCCGTGATCTCAGTTTTAGTAACTCCCTACTCAGACAAAATGTTCCTTGATCTCAGTAGGCATATTTACCGTGGTGTGATTCAGGTGGGCTGAGCTGGGCTGGGGCAGCAGGTGCAGCTGGAGGGGAGCTGGGCAGGAACCAGGACAGCCGGATGAGCCCCTGCTACTCCCACCTGCTGAAAGGTGGCTGCCACACCACGGGGGAGCCTCACTTCTGCTGAGGGTTTTCTCTGAGTAAAAACAGAGTTTTAAGCATGAATCCATCAGGCTCAAAGAGAGAATTGGGATCTGTTTGTACATCCCTGCATTGCGTTCTGAGCAGGTTAAACACGTGTATGTGTGATGGTATTGAGAAACAGAGTGATTTAGATGGATGCACATTATTCCTCAGCTCTGTGTCAACAATCAAAAATGAGCTTTTGGATTTATTAGTTCCCAATCCTGCACCTATCTTAAATCATTACCATATAATAAGGACTCTATGTGGTGCATTGTCAATAAAACCTAATATTGAGAAGATTACCAATCGTCTAGTGCAAATGGAGAGCACTGTAAATTATTTAGAGAATACGTGTCAAACGTTAAAGCTGTCTAATACCTTCTAAAGTAGGTTGATACTCATAAATCTAAGATAAACGACCTGTAAAACCACTTAAGAAGAAATGATACTCATTTAATCAGGCTTCCAGTGGAAAGACTGGGTAGGAGAGCAATTCATAAGGAATTATGAAATCTCTTCTAATTCAGGGCTTTGTTGATACAGAACGCATTTGAAACATACATTTGATAAGCAATTTTGGTTACTTGAAACTACAGTTGTAATAGCACTAAATTATGGCCCCACTGAAAAAAGAAAATATCAAAGGGCATTTTTTAATGGTTTATTGAGCTCTTATTTTTCCAGATTCAGCACTGTGTGTATCAGATGGAGATATAAAAAGTATTCATTGGAACTACTGTTTTGCTTAATTACAGGGATGTGGTGTTGAATTGGCTTCTGTCGGTGTGGCTGTCCATACTCACTGATAACAGTAGATTCATTATTGCATTTTCCTGAGAGGAACAAGTCATCATTTACTGGGACAAGCCTGGTAACAAATATCGTGAAACAATCTCCATGTTTTCACAGAGCTGAGTGTTAACTTGCATGAACTTGGTCTGTTGAGTTTAGTGGTCTTTTCTACTTTTTCCCCCCCCCCAGACCCACTTGAAGGGTGGCTAAATATGTGTGGCAGAAAAATTAGGTCATGATTTTCACTACCAAAGGTCTGATTCTTCAGTTCTTGCGCAGACAAAACTTCCATTCCCTTCAATATGTTTTTAAGGCCACTTGTTAATTCCTGCTTATTCTTTTGGCTCTGTGCGTGCCCGGAGCTCAGCGTCACTGCCAGCATTTATTAGAAGTTGACGCAGAGCTTTTCTTGAAGCGACTGTAGTGGTATATTTAGCCATGGAGCAATCTTTCCAAAGAGCACTGTGCTGTGACTCATGTGACTGCTGCTCTGCTGACCCTAGCAGACTTACTCATCGTTTACATAGTGGCAAACAAGATCAGGTTCTGGCTTGATGCCTTATTTCCCTTGATGCAATAAATGTGCTGCTTGCACATGCATTTTACTTCAGTTCACATATTTTAAGATAAACTGGGAATCCAACTTCTTTTTTTTTACTGTGAAAAATAAGGGTGCTTAACTGCTTCTCTGAGTGGAATTGGTGAATGACATGCAAATGCAGCTCAACCCTACATAACTTGTTTGTACTGCAAAAATAACCATGGCATGGCATGATTATGGTTAAAATGCATTATCCATCACCTTCTTTCTTCTTCCTTCCTCTCACAGAGAGCAAAACACAGATGCAAGCACACCTATGCAACAGCTGTAGTCTCATCCAGTCATAGCAGTAGTGTTTGGAATGGTTGGGTTTGTAATGAGCAGGGAGGGCAACCTTGGCAGCACATTCCCACTGGTAAATTTTTGAGATACTGAAGTCTATCTAAAAAAAATCTTGTTGATTTACTTTCTACTTTCTTCTCAGCTGGCATAAAGAGTCATTTTACTAAAATACCAGTTAAACCGAGCATACATTAAAGATCATTTCAGAAATCTGTCAGCCTCAAGAACGTTGCTTTTCCATTTCCTGAGAATACCTTGGAGTAACTGGCTTTGCTACTCTGAAGCAGAACAGCTGTTGTGTGTATGTGTTGTATTTGCATTGTGTGGGGCAGGGTATTTGTTATTAGTTTAAAAAAAAGAAAAATCCGAGG